GCCCACAAAAGGGTGAGTCAAGTTGAGATGGCAACATCCTTCTCTAAACTTTACCCCTGCATGGCCCACAAAAGGGTGAGTCAACTTAGAATGGCCACATCCTGCTCTAAATTTTGCCCTCCAGTGGCTCACCAAAGGGTGAGTCAACTTGGCAACAGCAAAGGGCAAAAGCAAAAGCAGAAGCAAAAGTAGAAGCAAAAGTAGAAGCAGAAGCAACAGCAAAAAGCAAATGTAGAAGGAAAAGCAAAAGCAAATGCAGAAGCAAAAAGCAAAAGCAGAAGCAGATGCAGAAGCAAAAGCAAAAGCAGAAGCAAAGGGCAAAAAGCAAAAGCAGAAGCAAAACCCAAAAGCAGTAAGGAAAAACATATGAAAAAAAAGAAATCCAGAAAACAACTCGAAAAACCCAGAAAAATAGGGGTTCCTTTGATGTGTTTGCCAGGTCAACACTGGCTCGGGCCTTTTCAGGTTTCGGTTCAGCGCTCTAGACGGCTAATGCAGTAACCAGCTTTAAAATGCTAGCTTCACGTGGATGTCATAACTGATAGAGCTCTTGCGAGCATGGATCTAAGTGTATATATGGGTACGCGGGGCCCCTATATATAATATATTACAATATATTATGTATGATTATGTAACTATTACTGTGTATGTGTACATAGGTGTGATAAGTATGTAAGCAGCTCGCAAGTTGAATCAAACAGGTAGTAGACAACATCCTCCCCATGTAAAACACTTCAGTGGCCATCTTCCCGTTGTGGAATGGATGTACCTTACACAATTCTCTGCAACCAAAGGTCATCACCTCCCCCAAGCCACGGTGTCCCAGTTGATCTCAGTTGGCAAGGTCCGAGCTGGCCAGGGAGTTTGTGGCAAAGAATGACATGGTGCAAGAGACCCCCCGTCTTGGATGCACTCGTATTATTTTCTACAAGACCTGAAAATACATATCCCCCTCGATCCTCGGCGCGCGCCTGGGATGGCCACATGCTTCTCCACCTGGATGAGAAATGGTTGCGACCGAACTTGTGCCACCCCGTCTCATCGTGGGCACACCCTCCGAGTGCTGGTCTCAGGATGTCCCAGATGTTTGGCCAATACAACGCTCTACACAGTCTCTAGGCTGGTGCCTCATCTGACAACCAATGTACTCCAGGTGCGTTCTGGCATGCAAGTAAGGGGACGAGGAAGAATGTCCCTTGCCACACGTTTCAGGCACCATGTTCGCAATGCCGAGTGAAAGGTGCCCCGTTTGCAGCGCCATGCGATTTGAGAATTTGAGACATCAAAAGTCAAGACCAAACCAGATTCTACTAGCACTGTAGTTCTAAGGGATGCAAACCAAAAGTCGTTTGCTTCAGGGACTTGGGCCGCTAGGCACCCCTTTCGACCCGGTTGGGACAACAAGCCTCTCACATGCCTCGCATCGAATCCTCTTGCTTGCTACCAACCATGCGCAAAGAAATCAGAGTTCCCAACTTGCGGCCCTCAATTCTGCCCCCAAACACACGCACTGACAGAAAGTGATGAATATAAGCGGCGTGTTCATGCCGCATGGCTCTCTCTTTGGGAAAACCCCATTCCGCTGATCAACCCTGATCAACCCACCTTGTGGACCCGCCTCAGCTGCTAAGGCTAAACCGGGGCTGCAGGTTCACCGCCGGCATCATCGCCTCGGGTCCGTGCTCCGACCCATCCGGTGGCGAGGACTGCTGCGGACCCGTGCAGTTCGTCGATTGGTTTCGAGGTCGAAGCACGTCAGACCAACTCTGATAGATTTGTTTCGTGCCACCCCTGGTGTTCTCTGATCTGACATGGTCAGAGGCAGTGCAGCAGTTGCCAGCTAATCAAACCATCTGACACAGCATTGCCAAAAATAATCCGTAGAACTAGAACCAGTTCTGCCACTGAAAATGCCAGTGGATAATGGATGACGGGGTGCAGAGTGCAAACTTTAAAGGCAAATGGTCAACAAAGAACATTCCATTCCACTAGTAGCAGGGCCATCTTGGTTAAGCGTTCTCTTCCGCTTTCCAGCCTCCTTCCAAGGTTGAAGAAATAATAGCCCAGCCCAGCCCTGAGCCCTGATACCGTGACTCTGGATGACGGACCGAAGAGTGCATGACTTTTGCCGAGCAGCTCGAGCCTTCTTCAATGCGAGATCCCCCGTCTTCATGGCCTATGCTGTGCACCAATGTGAAGAGCTGAGCAGTGGTCCGGTCTGATCTGGGTTGGTCTGATCAAGAAAACTCCTGAGTTGACGACAGCCGGTGATGCACCAAGAAAATGGCTTCTATAGGTGGGGAAAACATGGGACCCTTGCATGATACATACATACATGGTACAATGATGGTGGATGCATGATGATTCATGCTTTCTTTCATATGGTTCATAGCGGTCAAAACCTGGAGATCTCCATAATAGTCTAACCAGGGTCCCCGGTGTCATGGCCCACCGCCTCACATGACATGCGACCGACGAGGCCGACCCTCGACGAGACCCACTCCGATCCCTGCCTGTAGAACCTCTCGATGACATTGTTTCTTACTCTCTGCTTGGGTGGAACTGCCTCAGCTCCAAACGTGACGAGCTGGTCCCAGGCTTGTTGAGGACGAGATAGGTTCATGGACAAGTATACAAGCTGGTGTGGGAGTTGGACTGATTGCGATTGGAGCTGCTGGCTCATTCAAGCAACTCCGGCCCCTGCGATCGTTTCAAACGACGAGAAAACAAAAAGAACATCTAAACATAACAAGCAAATATCAAGTACATCATAGTACATCATTAACGTACACACGGAGATATATGAGCGCCTATCTATCTACTACAGTAATATGCCGTATACATCGTCTGTTATCCTGTTCGTCATGGGCCTATCGTCCTATCTTCTCGCACCGTCCGTCACTCGCGAGCGCTTCTGGGAGTCGCTGGAAGAGTGGATGGGATAAGTCATGGAAGCCCCATGCATTCTGGGATATTCTGGGAGGGTTCATGAGGGTTCCCTCTTACAGCCACGGCACACCCAAGGCCCTGGCGTCGGCCTTTTACCGCGCAGGCCACCACGTGCCCCTCCACTGGGCCAAGCTCCGTGCCACTGTCGAACGTCCTCGGACTTCGGACTTCGTTTGATGGGCAGGTCCCAAATGTCAACCAGCTGCGTGGTCAAAACCATGGGGGATTGCAGTGAATGAACTGAAATTGGGTCACACTCCTGGTCACACCGTTTCATGAGCTCAGACTCCAAACCCATCGAAATCCCATAACTACTCATGATTCCGACCCCTCAACAATCCTAACCAACCTGGGATGCACGTCTTGCAAGTCAGTTGGTGCTTGGGACCTCGAGCCACTCCACACCCTTTTCGAGCCTCCCAGTTGCACCATACCCACGGCCATCGAAGCACTGCCTTCCACCGAGCACGCGCGGGAAATCCAATTAGCACAGGGCGAACTTGGGGAAGTCTCCACCAAGCACGAGGGACTAGGACCGCGTCACATACCAGGGATCGATCCACGTATGGAAGTGATATACGGGGTGTTTCACTGGTCTGGGCTCTGCCTATTCGGTTCTTCGCTGTCCAGTACGGGGGGGGAAGCCTGCTGGTTGAGCAAACTTCTAATCACTGCTGGCAACCAAAAGGATAGGTCTGGAAGGGGACAAGGCGAGAACAGTTTTAATGTCAACAATGTCGACGCCCATGATCAGGAAACTTCTTCTGAAGAAAAAACGGAAAACATCAAACTCGTTGCAGTGACCCACAGCACACGCAGCCCTCCCGATCATAAGTCGACTCAAGAGATCAAATTACTCCTAACATCTCCTAACAGGTTTCGTTGCAGCAGGAAGATGCTGGAATTCAGAAATCTTGGATAATATTGGATTATATATTGAATGAGGGAGCGCCGATGGAATCCCACCCAATCGGTGACGAATCAAGTGTTCGGGCCACATCGCCCACTATCGCCGCTGCACACCCAAGGGAGCGCCCAATGCATTGGCACAGCAATCCCTCCCCTGCCTGTCCCAAGCTTGGCCGCCTGGCCCCTGCCTGGCCCAACATAAAATGGTTCAGAAGAATAGAAATCGCCGCTGAGAAGGATGGCAGTACTGAAGATTGAGAACTATGGCATTTTGATGCCTTCTGCCAGGCTTGGGTTCTAGGGATGTTTTCAGCAAGTATCTGGATTCTTCTTTGCCCAGCGCCCAGCGCCTTTGATAGCTCTCTGGCCTAGGCCTCAGCAATGGCTCCAATCATGGTTTTCCATGTAGGGTCTTGTTACGTCAAAACCCCGTCAGCCCCTTCAGGAAGAGTCTGAGACCAGAACCGCTCCGCTTAGGTTGATCAATGCCATTGGCTCCAAATGTTCAGAAATGAAACCCCTTCCCCATGAAACATTCCAACTGAGGAAGGGAGCAATTCCAGCCTTGGTCCCTGTTTTCATGCCAGGGTTCCCAAAACATAATGTGAATGGGCAACGCAACTAACCCACCCAGTGAACCCGAATCTCACGGTCCAGTCTCCACTCTCGCGAACAGGGCCCCCGCGGCAAAGAACTTCCCAAGTTCGCCTGGAAGCAGGTCGCAAGTTGGACAGGGAAACTCGAAAGGACGCCGGCGAATGGAACCGGAGGGCTTAAAGTCCGTGGATGCTTATGGAAGTGAAGGTAGTTTTTCTCTGAAATAGTGACAGTCGTTTACCGACTGCTAGTTATATTCGGGCGACCTTTTTTTTTCGGGAATGGTTTTCCAACGCTTTTTTGTATTTTTTCCGCACTGTTCGTGGTCAGGGGCTGCCACAAAAAGAAAAAGAAAGAGAACTAACGCAGGAGGCAAGGAAGAAAAGCAGGAAGAGAAGCAGAAAAGGAAAAGGAGAAACAACTACAGTAGCACAGGAGGCAAGGAACAGAAGAGTAGAAGGAGAAGGAGAAAAAAGGAAGAGGAGGAAAAGAGGGAGGAAGAGAAGGAGAAGGAGAAAGAGAAGGAGACACAGGAGCGAGGAGAAGGCACAAGAGAAGGAGAAGGCTCTTCCCGCTACTTTCTTGCAGATCACAATACAGTATACACCAGCAAAGTGAGAATGGTAGCGCGTACCGGTAAGTCTGAAATATATAAATGTATGTCCATGCATGCATGTGTATATCTATGTATGTGTATGTATGTAAGTTTGCCTATGTATGTATGTACGTATGTACATGAATGTATGTATGTATGTATGTATGTATGTATGTATGTATGTATGTATG